CATTTATTTATTTCCCTTTTATAACTAGTCTTGATTAAGTAGCTAGGTGCAATTATTGAATTTATAATACAGTATTTTACCAATGCCACACTACACCAGTGGCGTGAAAAATAAGTTGACTCTAAAGGTCCTACTAATTGAATTAAGAAAGCAAATTGAATTTGAAGATTAGATCTAAGAAGAATGTTGAATACGTTTTTATGGACAAGTCAACCTACAACCCCTATTTTTTCCTGGATGCAAATGCATAAAGTGAATTTTCTTTTAAGTTAATAACTCGTAATTCATATAAGAGGGTTAAATCAAGTATCGTATGATGATGACAATTTCGAAATAAAAAAAAACATGCAGGAAATTTTGATATTCAAACCCCTTATTTGGGATTAGATCACTTATTCAACCAACCCGATCAGGCGCCAATATAAAAGAATGTTGAATATACAAGAATAGTTCAATATCCTTGGTCTTCAATTAAATATGGGGGATTCCAAAGTAAGACATAACATAAGAATATGTATAGAGTAATTCATATTTTTTGCTTTAATTTTGAGAAGTTACTACTCTCTTTAAATTTCCATATATTCATGAAAATTTTCAATGTTAATTTTAGTAAGTAATTAACAGTTCAAAATATCTAAAGGACATACGAAGAAATCACATTGATTATTTAATTCTTGAAATTCGAACTATATCATATAAATTAAGACGTAAGAAGTATTGTTTTTTCCACATATGAATTATTATTTTATTTTTAATAAAAGGTACGGAAATGATTATGCTTAATTGTTATGAGAACAAATTGGTAGTGTTGGACTTAAATTAATTAAAAATGTTTGCAAAATAATAATGGAGCAGGTAGAGTTAATTAATTGCTTTATAATTAGAATAAAAGTTGGTTGGATTTGTGTAATTATCAAACAAAGAAAGAAATAGACAAGATTTGGTGAGACACTCTCCTCCCATCTAATGATTTGACTTTGCTTTGCAAACAAATTGCTAGTTTTAATTTCCCTTTCCAACCAATGGGCCAATGTGTTACTTTGGTTTTTTAATAAAATATTCTTATTACTGTTTAAGTAATAATATTACTATTTTTTAAACCGTCCAATCTTTTTATATATAGTATTCTTATAATTGTTATATATATTTAACAATAGTATTAGTATTTTTTAAACCGTCCAATCTTTTTCAAATTCGTACACTATGTAGGATCATAAGAGGAAAAAACCCCTACTATTAAATATTGTTTTTATTTTCAAGATTCGAATTTGAAATATATTAATTAATTGTAGTGAGACTTAATTTCATTCGTTCATAACTTTAGTTAATTAACATTTCTTACTTGAGTCCACCTAATGCTAATATTTTTTATACAAATATTAAAGCAATGTCGTGTCACGTTACAATTATTTTAATAACATGTGATATTAAATATATATATAATTCCAGTTGCACTTGTGTACTCTATATATATGATATTTTAAGCCAGAAAATTTTATGTACTCTATATATGTGTATAACATTTTTATTTAAATTTTGAACTTGCTAAATAAATAGAGCTGAAATTAAAATTTCATAAATTTTAAATTCGTCTATATTGTCAATGGTGCATTTTCTTGCTAATTTCTGGAATTGTATAGTTGCAGTGTCAATGTTTTTGAAAGAGAAGTGTAGTTAACAATTTATTATTTAATCCTATAATAATAATTAAAATAAATGAACAGACAAGGGGCTGCTCTGTTGGTTTCATAAGAAGACTCCATTCACCCACAAATTACAATCATATGATGAGATTCACGTGGATTAGACGTTGAGTATAAAGGGGTCATCTAATTTACGGATAAAATTATTTCACAATATAATTATAAAAGATAAAATAAAATAATATCAAACTGAATAGGATAAAGTAGAATATTGAATAAGATAAAGTGAAATATCTAAAATAAGATTAAGATTAAATTTATATTCTGATTAATCGAAGCTACTTCAACTAAATAAAATATAATTCTAGTTCAAAACTTAATACTTAGGATATGCCACATTATATCACATACCAAAGGATAATAATATTGTTAAATGAATAAAATAGCAAAAGCCTTTTTAATTACTATTTTATAAGAAATATGATAGATAATTTGAGATGAATAGAGATATTAACCGGTAAAATCCAAAACTTAACAATTTATCATTTGTTACTATTAAAAAAATATTATATTGATACAAGTGGGCATTATTTAAATAAGATATTGAAACAAGTGGAAATTTTTTAAAACTAAAAACTATGGGTTGCTATCAGCCTACCAAAACAGAATCTTTGAAAACCACTCGTGGCCTTAATAATATTTTTTCACTTGATATTTATTTATTTAACAATAATTTTCTTTTCTTGAATTTCAACTCTTAGTTTTTATTTGTTTGGCATTGTGGGCGGTGCTTGAAAATTATTGTTATATCAAATAAAAAAAAAATAAATATAGATAACGTTTTTAATAATCAAAATTTTAGCATGGTTAAGGGCATTCGAGATGAAGATTTTAAAATTAATGTTAATTTTTATTAGTTAGCGACTTATTAGTGCTAGTCCATATATAAACCCTTGGATTAAACATCAATAAAATACACCAAAAAACATACTTTATATTACTTCACATCAATTACATTAATTAAGTTTCATACGTTGAACTTGTCATAATTAAATTATTGGAGATAAGGATAAACAAAATTGAACCTAATTTTATAATTAAATTTGAACCAATCTGATTTATGTACACCCTTAATTAGAGATAATTATATAAAGTAATTGAATTAGATTTTGACATATTTTGTTGGGATAAGGGTCTGAAAAATATCTCAATTTTGGTCGGATTTGCTGTTGCGATACTAAACTTTCATAAGGACCTATTACCTCTCTAGGTTATTTAATACCGTATTTTTTACCCCCTGAACTATTTAATAGTGTATTTTAAAGGTATATATGTGCTCACGTGGACACATTACTATTTATAATTTTGCATTATTTTTTATGTCCACGTGGAGAAATATATATGTTTAAAATACGATATTAAATAGTCTAGGGAGGTAATAGGTCCTTATGAAAGTTTAGTATCGCAACAACAAATCCAATCAAAGTTGGGGTATTTTTCATATCATTATATAATGGGACTTCCAATATAAAATAATAAAATAATAGCTTCATAATCCTAATGAAATCGTAATATGTTTATTTTAAAACTATTTACAATGTTCTTTTCATATATATATATATAAAAGAATGATGGATTTTTCTGGTGTATATACTTTTCATTTGTATGATGGGTTTTCAATGAAGTAAAATGACTTGCTCTAAATGCCATGAATCTGTAAATGATTAGTATTCCCCTGGTTGTCATGTTGCATCTTTTTAAAATCAATTTGATAATTTTTTAAAGTTAAATTAAATTATATTAATTTGATAATTTTTAATAAAAAATTTAGATATTAAAAAATTATATGAAAAGTACTATAAATTGAGAGTAATATTTTTAATATCAATATAATGAAAAAATATGTCGTAAAATGTTTGTCAAAATTCTTATCATTTGAATCTAAAAAAAAGATATTGTGACAACTAAATGGGAACGAAGAAAATATAATTTTCCAATTTTTTTTTCACATTAAAAGTTACTAAAAGCACCCATTTTTATAATTGTATAAATCAGATATACTTTGACTATTAATTTAAAAATATCATTTCTATATAATTTTGACTCAAATATACTGACTAGAAATTTCAAAAATATAATTTCTATATAAATTTGACTACAAACTTTTTTAGATATAAATTAAATAAATTACCAAATATCAAATTCTAAACAAATTAGATTTTCCACATCAATTTTAATTTTTTTCAACACTTATCTCTATAATATTAAAAATTATCTAAAAATCATTATTATTTTAGGAATTTAAGATTAAAATTAGTAATTATATTCTTAATATCAAAGAAATAAGTTCTTTCTTTTTTAATATTATTTAATTCTCAAAAAATGTTTGATAATAGGAATAATTTAAATAAATTGTATCATGTAGTTACTATTAAAAAAAACAATGTAATGTATTAAGCTTTCATTTTGTGCTGGATTCGGGGAAAAATCGGATAAAAAAATCTCTTATATTTTTGCGAGAGACCGTTTCTTACTTGAAGATATGACTAGTCATATAACAATAACTTCACCAACAACTTTTAATTATTTTTAATGACCTTAATGAAAAAACTCAAGCCACAATTAATATAGGATAAGGAGTACTGATTGTTAACTTAAAGTTGAATCCTAATCCCATTCGTATTAATTACTAATCCTTCTTCTACGAATTAGATTCTTTACCGGTCTTTTTGTCCCAATGTTTACTCCTACTTAAATTCATACTTATCTTTTCACAATTATACTCCAAAAAACTCAATTAATAAAGAAATCAAAACAATTTATAATTAAAACCAAAACTAACTAAACCATCAATGATCTAGTCAATTAATTATTAATTAGACTTTAAATTGTTTAACTTTTAGAACGATTTAACACCTAGATCCTAGAAGATTAGTTATTAGTTGAATAATTAGGAGATTATTTAGCTTAACTTTTACCATAAACTAATAACAAGTCAACAAAATAAAAATTAACAACAAAATTCTTCAAGATTTTTATTTTCTCTCCCCTTTTATTTTTTAGCACTAATTTACTAGAAAAAATAATTTTGTAATCGTATTAAATATTTATCTATTTTTTTCTAAAATCTTCACTTTTTTGTGGGATATTTTTCTTGTCTTTAATCAAGTTAATAAAGGTCCTACATCCACATAAAAGTGACGTGCCATTTAAGATTAATAATAATTACTATTAGCCTAAAATTAAGGAATATATGTGTCGCATAATATTTTTTGGATAATTATTACTACAAATACTTTTTTTTTAATTAAAATAAAATAAATCCCTGTGCGTAATGAAATAGTTTTCTCTTCTTCTTAGAACTCTTCAACCACCTTCTATATAAAGCTCCTAATAATCTTCACTTATCCTCCTCCTCCTCTTCTCTCTCTATTACTATATAAAACCTATAGATACACCTATAGATACATATATTTTCTATATTCATCGTCGCCATGGCAGTTAACGGTAGTGCTCTTTCTTCCGGTTTGATCGTCAGTTTCGGTGAGATGTTGATCGATTTCGTTCCGACAGTCTCCGGCGTATCCCTGGCCGAGGCTCCCGGATTTTTGAAAGCTCCCGGCGGTGCACCGGCGAACGTCGCCATCGCGGTGACAAGGCTCGGAGGGAAGTCGGCGTTCGTCGGGAAACTCGGCGACGATGAGTTTGGTCACATGCTCGCCGGGATTCTGAAAACGAACGGCGTACAAGCCGACGGAATCAATTTTGACAAGGGCGCCAGGACGGCTTTGGCGTTCGTGACTCTACGCGCCGACGGAGAGCGTGAGTTTATGTTTTACAGAAATCCCAGTGCTGATATGTTGCTCACGCCCGATGAGTTGAATCTTGATCTTATTAGATCTGTAAGTTCCATCGTCATTAAATCTCTAATTAATATTTTTTAATTCCCTCCCAAACTCGCATTGGATTTGATGATTTGTGCGTGTTTCTCACGTGCAATTTCGTAGTTTTGTGATCTTATTTTTGGTTACTGATATGGACGAAGCTGGTGAGTTTTTTGTTGTTGTCTGTTTTTGACTCAACTGTAGTTTAGTTAATTATAATAGTAATTAAAATTGAAAAAGACGTAAAACTTAATTTTATTTTTAGGTGGGTTGGTTGGTGTCCTTTTTTGACTTTACTGTAGTTTTTCTAATTAATTAGAAAATGACATATCATTTATTTGCCTAATTGGATCCAATCCGGAATCCCCCAAGTTACTGAGATCAAGCTCTTCTCTTCATCTTACTAATATGTCACACACATCCATTTCGACTTTTATTTAATAGAATGAAACAATCTATAAATAGTGTGTTCCCTTTATGAGATGGGTTTTGCTTTTGTAAGCAAAAGTTGATCCCTATCCACTTTTTTAAATTTTGTTTGTTTAAAGAGAGACAGCTAGAATTTTGTCAATTAGTAATTCAGTTAGAGCGAAAATTGGGAGAAAGGTAGAGTTTAAAAACCTTAAAGCTAGTTTATTGTGTATTGTGTTGCATGCAATTAAGATGCAGCTGTAAGTGACACGGATTTTTCTTGAAGAGTGGGTGAGTGTTGTCTGTTAGCTTAACCCAACTTTTCCTACCTTTCAGGTGTTGAAATCTCAAAGAGCTATGATTTGTCTCTTTCTCTTCATATCATTATCACTCTTTTGTTTCTATTACCTTATAAATTTAAAATAGTAGATGTTTAGTTCACATGATATTTGCAACAAAACCAAGTTGATTTGTTTGCATTGAAATTAGTTTCATAATTTATAGTATATAGTAGATGTAGAATCCAGTTTGTGTCCTTGTAACTCCGTCACTGTCACGGGCTAGAAGAAGTCATGAAAGTCAAAAAGTGTATAATGACGATATATACTAGGAGGAATAATATAGAGTGTATCGAGATCTTAGAGCAAAGAGAGCACCCAATGTTACCAAAGGGGGTAGGTGGGGAATCATTAATTGTCAGCCCCACATCTAATTATTCAAACTAATTAATTCTCGTTTTGATTATAGTTTATTGTTTGTCTGATTTGTGTAATATAGGCTAAGGTGTTCCACTACGGATCAATTAGTTTGATCGTGGAGCCATGTAGATCAGCACATTTGAAGGCAATGGAAGTAGCAAAGGAGGCAGGGGCATTGCTCTCTTATGACCCAAACCTTCGTTTGCCGCTGTGGTCTTCGGAAGAAGAGGCCAGGAAGCAAATCAAGAGCATCTGGAACTATGCTGATGTGATCAAGGTCAGCGATGTGGAACTCGAATTCCTCACTGGAAGCAACAAGATTGATGATGAATCTGCCATGTCCTTGTGGCATCCTAACTTGAAGCTCCTCTTGGTCACTCTTGGTGAAAAGGGTTGCAATTACTACACCAAGGTATATCTTTGTTTAAAATCATTTTTATACTATCAGGTCGTAATCATTCTTTCGTTTTAGTTATTTTATTTGATTGCTTCTTATTGAATTCACTAGTAGATAGCTGTAAAGTGGTAGGTAAGAACTTAGACGAACCATTATTGTTTAATTTGTAATTAAAGTAAGCCAAGGAGGACCTACAACACTAAAAGTACATTATTTGTGTGCCTAATTTTATTTCTTCCACTTGATCTTAGCCCAAAGGTATTGACATAATTTAAAATATTTTTTACTTTTCGCCGTACTGCTAATTAGTGTGTCCCCTCATGGCTAATAAGGGCCTTTTTTTTTTTTTTTAAATAATTAGAATATGTGATATCAATATACTGACAAGGCTGAATAGTTATTATGTAGTTACTCAATTGTTTAATCTGACTTGGTTCTTTTTTGGGGTGTAGAAATTCCATGGAAGCGTTGGAGGATTCCACGTGAAAACTGTTGACACCACTGGAGCTGGTGATTCTTTTGTTGGTGCCCTTCTAACCAAGATTGTTGATGACCAAGCCATTCTTGAGGTAAAATTTTGTAGTTAATAATTACCTTTTCTTAGTACTAATAATTAAGCGATAACGTGGAGTATAATAATACTAATTTGTGTAAAAAATGCAGGATGAAGCAAGGTTGAAGGAAGTACTAAGGTTTTCATGTGCATGTGGAGCCATCACAACCACCAAGAAAGGAGCAATCCCAGCTCTGCCTACTGAATCTGAAGCCCTCACTTTGCTCAAGGGAGGAGCATAGAAACATCATGTTATCTTTTTAATATTTTTTTCCATTTTCCATCTCCATATATTCCCCCCTCTATGAGTTTTTTTACTTTCAAGCTAGTAGGAAGCCTTTCAATTTTTAGTTTTGGATTTTAATGTTTTGTTGTGATGACGGTCCATCAAGGCACTTAATAAACTAAGCTTTCTTCCTATGGATCTTCTCCTTTAATATGTATTTCATTCCGATATTATATTCTAGGAGACAAATAGTTATTTGCTTTCTCATCAAATCCCAGGAATATTGGGAAGTTTGCTTAAAGTGCTCATGAGTTGGGTCGCTGCTTAAATGTGCAGTAATTGATGAAGGATGCCTAAATGCAAAACTTCTAACTCAATTGTTGTTGAGAGATGGTGCATCAACGCCAAGAAAGTTTGTTCCTTGGTTTGAGGCTACAAGGTAAAATCACAACTGTGGAGTAATGAATCAGTGGTAGTTCTTGTAACAAAACTAGGTTTTACTAGCTCAAAGAACCCAAAATCAGCATGTCCAAGAATGCCTCAATATGTTTTTATGTTGCCATAAGAATAAGAAACTGATGCAATTCTACCCAAGAGGCGAAAAGTAAGCAAGATAAAGGATATCTTATGCAGAATAATGTTTCCTCTACTTACTTAACATATCTGTTGACAATATGAGCGCACTGCAAAAGTAAGCAAGATAAGGAGTATCTTTAAGAGTTAAGCAGAACAATACTTTTTCTACTTACTGAACATATCTTTTGACAGTATGAGAGCACTGATTAAGTACTACACACAAGCACACGTACTTTTAATTAGGAACTTCTTGAAGTTGGTGTTCAACCAAGATCTGGGACAGTAAAATACTCATCTTCATCTGGGATTTCAAATCTGGGCTTCTTGTAAGGCATTTGATATTTGGTTGTCCTGTAAATATTTGTGTTGCTCGACTGAGGTACTGATAGCTCAGGTACTTCAGCTGCTGTTTGTTCACCAAAGAGATCAATGCCTCCTAACCACTCAAATTCACCAAGCTCAAGTAGATCCTTCTGTAAAGATTGAAACAATCATTACATATTAGATGAATAGACAATGACACGGTAAAACTGAATCAAGGGTCACCACAATTTCACATATTAGACTGAACCCTAGGCCAACTTCATATATACATGTAATGGTGTTATAAAATGTCTCCCTATGTATAGAGGAATCTAAGGAAGTCGTCTTTTGCATATTTAAGTGTTTCAAAATTGATAGCTTCTCATCATCTAGAGAAGTCCTCTACACATCAATCCCTCAGCCACCCAAGTGGTAGAAAATAAAGGGTACTTGCAAAATGTAAAAGGAATAAGTTTGTTTTACCTTGTCACTCGACTCATAATCTGGAAATCCTAGTAAATCATCGACAGGCCAAGATGGTGATGTGATACCGGACAATTGCTGTGGAGGCATTTTCAAGCCAACTTGTTGGGAATTCTGCTGAGGTGGTTGTGGCTCCAGTTGGTTTTTTACTGCTTCCTTATTGCAGCTTGAGCTCAAGGCTACACGGATTCCAGTGGCTAAGAAGCGTTGGTGGTTCTTAGCGAGGCTGCTGGCTGAATGAATTGCTTCGTCACAGTCCTTGCAAAAGAGAGCTCTATCCTCAACACAGAAGATGAAGGCTGCTTTATCCTGCATACATGATAGTTCAAGTTAAATGCAAGCAACATTGAAGTCCTCCCAAAGACGGTCATAAAATTTCTGGAAAAGAACATTGATCTTTAACTTTCAATCTTATTTCTCAGGTATGTTTACATCATTTTGACAGGTATAACCATGTTCAGAAAAATCACTTTTAATTCTTGCTTCTTCTCAACAATTTCCAATTTAGAATTATCACTTGACTACAAGGTATAAATTCTATGTGCAATAATATAGACATGAAACTTCATTTGAGGTTTCCGGTCTTTGAAAGGGTTGACACCATCATAGAAGAAACCTTTTGTTTCCAACTTGGAAACTCGGTGGTTAACAAGTCCGCACATCTACTTTTCTCCACTACAACACTAGGGTTAGTTTCCCATCAAGGTAAAACTTGTGACGTGCGTCTACCATACATTCCATGTTGTACTACCTTTGATGTTGAACCAAAGCCTTCTGAAATTGAAAACATAAACTATCCCATATCCATGAAATCATTTACACTATGCCCTATCTACACCTACAACTCTTTTCTTGTTTGAGATACTTATTGGTTATGACATGAGGTTTAAGATGCGCAGTCTGGTAAGCCTCCATTCCTCCCTCTCCCCTATATCTTTAGCTAGAAAAGCAAGAACTTCATTATCATAACCCCCCCCCCCCCCCCTCCCTCAGTGGCAAATTTATATGCTAATTTTGGGGCACCTAAACCCATGGTCTCTCTGTGAAATTAGATATTTTAGGTATACATTTTGTAAAGCTAAATGGTGCACTTGGTTGGTTGAATGCTAAGTTATTTGAATAGAGAACTCGGTATCAATACCCACTTAATACATTTTTTTTATGGTGCACCAATGTTCTAGAACTGAAATCCTAGATCCGCCTTTGCTCCCTCCGCTTTCATTTTATGTCTTGGGTTGACTTATAGAGAAGTTTAAGAAAGTAACCAGAGACTTTTGAATCAAGTGGTCTTAAACTAAAGATCAACATTACACCCTTTAAATACTATGACCTTAAAACATGTCACATGTTGGAATTGAAGATCAGGAACTAAAAAGGTAAGAAGACACAAATTGAAACAGAGGGAGTGATAAATACTAAACATAGAAATGCAAAATTAGTTATGTGAAATGGTAATATTAATAATCTAATCAGAGTCTATTAAAAGGAACATCACAAGTTAACTTTCCATTTATTTATTTTTATGACAAAGGAAACCGCAGTCACTATCCTTAGGGTGCACACATGGTAAAAACCCTACTCCTATGCAATAGCTTGCAAACCACATAGAAGAGGTCACCCGCACTAGGCAAGCCCGGTGCGACGAGCTTGACCAAAAAGGCAAACCGCTTTCGCTGACAAGGGATTTCGAACTTGAGACTTCCAACATGGAAGTCCCAAGCCCAAACCACCGGGGCACCCCGAAGGGTACACAAGTTAACTTTCCATTAATCAAGGACCAACACAACTACCAGATTGAAATATTAGTAACACAATCTAGACTAAAAACAAATTATTCCATGAACAGGGCAACAAAAAAAAGAAGAAGATCCCTTACTTGGCAAATATCACAAGGAGGAAGCTTGTTAGATAGGCACTGAAGATGAAGCCTTTGATGCTTACTTGCTAATTTATTAGCAGCATGAACTTCAATATCACATTTTGCACACAAAGCAGCCTCATCAGCACAGCAAATCACAGTAGCTTGAGCTTTCTCACACACATCACACTGGATCTTCATCTTTTATTACTCAACTCTTGCCTCCTAACACTAATTCAAGACATACCCTTTTGAGTTTCACACAAGAAAAAGAGGAAAAATAGTGTCTTAAAGCTTTTTGGGAGAGATGTCAGAACTTTTCAAGATTTGAAAAATACCCAAACTCTGATATGCCAAAATGGTCAGTCAGACAAAAAAAAGACCTGCAGAAATCAAGAAAACCCAAAGCAGGTGGTTAGTCCAATGTAATAAAAATGAAAACTTTCAATCAAAAACAGAAAAATGTGGTCTTTGTAATGAGAAAAATGGGAGGAGAAAGAAGAAGAATACAGAGAATGAAATGAGTGGAAGAGGGAGATTTGTGTGGATAAAAGAATAGGATTTGCGTATAAAATACTTGATGAGTATTGAGACAGCACAGTATTAGCAGGGCTCCACTTTCTTCCCTTTTGTGTGGCTGTTGGATTGCCGTTAATATTAGTGGCTATGAATATTTGGGTATTATTTATTTCTACTCCCCTTTCGTGGACGGTGGCTGTTGGTGGGAGTTTGAAATACCAGATTCACACGCATCTACCTCAATATATCAATGATATTTTTTGAGTCAGAGACGGAGATAGAATTTGAAGTTTATAGATTTGAGAAGGTGTTTAATTTATTGATAGTTGGAGTGGGGTGATAAGAATCTGTTATCGAGATTTAAAAGATTAGTCTTATAGAGAAATTATCAATCAATATTCGCATGTTCTGAGAGATGAGGATGCATAGATGGATGTGTAGGCATACTAGAAGAGACAAGATTATGACTTGAGATATATGGGGCATGTGGCAGTAGCCTTTATCATTGACAAGATGCAAAAAGTGAGACTAAAACGATTTGAACATGTGAAGAGGAAGAGCGTGTAAGTGCCTCGATGAGGCTGCAAGAGTTGGCAGTTATAGGATTAAGGAGAAATAGAGGTAGACCGAGAAAATATTAGGAGACAAAATTGAATATGACATGATATATTTTAACTCAATGATAATATAACTCTAAATAGGAAGGCATGAAGGTGTAAGATTTACGATAGACAATTAGTAAATAGCAGAGTGTTTTCTCTCTTCTCAATAGTTGAGCAAAGTCCTAATCTGGAGTATCTACAATTCTACATGTTCTATTATTATTGTGCTAATATTATCGTATTCTTAGTTCTATTATTATTATTATTATTATTATTTCTTCTATTATTATTATTTTTACAATTTTTAATGGTAAATACTTTCCTTTTTTCAATATTTTGAGGTTTTCATTTTTAAGTTAATACCACTCAAATTTGTTGCGGACTTTACTACTAGAACCTCAAATGGAAAAGTTTCATTAAGGAGGACTAAATTAATAAATTTTATCTTAATTAGTCGAGGAAAGACACGAATTCGGGTTCAATTTGCATATATTAATTCCATTCCAATTTTAATTTTTTTAAAGAAAAGATATTAAAAAAACTACATATTCGAATTACTTAAATATATTGAAAATTTTATGTGATATAGACCAAAAAAATATTTTGTACAAATATATAGAGAAGAAGTGTAAAGATTCAATGATCAAAGTTAAGGCAATGCCTCTATATTTATATAGCCGCAATTTGGAGTTCAAATAGTGCAAGAAATGTCCGTCTGAAAAATGATGCCGTTATTTAAAAGCCGATATATATAAACTCATAAACGATAAAGATTATAAAATTCGATTTTCATTTCTCTCCGTTTTTTTTCTTTTTATTTTTTTATTCACACCAAACTTAAACACAACAATAAATAGGGACGGTGGGAGTTCAAATCATTTTATGTATGTGGGGTGACAAGTTATGAATGATGAGTTGTACGTTGCTAGATTCAAGTGTCACTTTCACTTTCAATATTGGTGTTTTAATACTTAGTACATTGGCTAAACGGTCAAGATCATTCTTGAATTATTGTTTTTCATGGTCCAGATGATCCAATTTCTGTGGTTCCAAATTATCCTACACACAATATTATCTTTTGCGTTATTAATCCTGTAAGGGCTTGTTTGAATTGACTTAAAAAAATAGTTTTTAAGTCAAAAATAAAAAGTCAAACTGAAATGACTTTTAAGTCAAAAAAAAATGTAGGGGAGACCTACTTTTGATTTCTGACTTATTTTAAGTCATTTTTTTACTTTGCCAAACACTTCGTAACTTATTTTAAGTTATTTTTTATATTTGTCAAACACTTTCAGAAGTAAAAAACTGACTTAGAGCCCGTTTGAATTGACTTAAAAAAAGTAGTTTTTAAGTTAGAAATAAAAAGTCAAACTAAAATGATTTTTAAGTCAAAAAATAAAAAGTAGGGGGAAACCTACTTTTGGTTTTTGACTTATTTTAAGTCATTTTTTTACCTTGTCAAACACTTCGTAACTTATTTTAAGTCATTTTCGACTTATTTTAAGTTATTTTTATAATTATCAAACAATTCCAGAAGTAAAAAATTGACTTAAAAGTATGTTTGACCAACTTTTAAGTCAATCCAAACAACCTCTTAAAAGTAGGTTTGACCAACTTTTAAGTCAATCCAAACGGGCTCTAACTCCTCTTTTGATTCCACGTGTTTAATTGGAATGAAAAAGACGATACAAATTCAATCGTCAATATTTTCAATACTCTTCATATCGTAGCTATATTTAATTGAATGCGGAGATTATATATGCGAATATGTACTAAAAGAAAGGAAAATTATATGAAATAACAAACTATTAATTCAAATTAAATGTTATAGTCATGCTTTCTTTTATTTGTAATTTGCAGCAAACATTCAATATTTTTTGTCATCCTATTTGAATACCGAAATATACAAATAAACTCATTCGGTAAACATATGTGTTATACAAAAAATTAATTGTAGTACCCATTTTTTTTTATTTTTTTTGATGACAAGGGAAACCTGCAGCCGCTATCCTTTGGGTGCGCACATGGTAAAACCCCCGCTCCTATGCAATAGCTCGCAAACCACATAGGAGAGGTAACCTGCACTAGACAAGCCCGGTGCGACGAGCTCGACCCAGAAGGCAAATCCCTTGCTTTCGCTGGCAAGGGATTTCGAACTTGAGACCTCCAACATGGAAATCCCAAGCCCAAACCACTGGGCCACCTCGAAGGGTAATTGTAGTACCCATTTGTATACCAAAATATACAAATAGACTCATTCAGTATACGTATGTGTTGTATCTATGTAGTAATTTTGTTTATATACAATTACTGTGTTTTAGTTTGTATACCGAAATATACAAATACAGATTTTTATGTATATGCATATCGAAATATACAAATTAATAGTCATAGCAAACATAAAGTTTGTTACGGTCACTATCATGCATTATTATGGATAAACACTACTAATCATCCAATTAAAACTAAACATAAATTTCAGTCTCTTATTAGGGGTTACAATAATGTAATACATGACTAATTTATACTTTTGGCTTAAGCAAATTTGTAAAAACTTTTATTCACTTTTATGAGTAAAAAAAAAGAAAAATCATACGTTTAAGCCAAGCTGACGTATACCGAAGTTGCAACACCGAGCGCGTAAGCACCAATCGCCGCCGCAATCAATTCTTTCCCAGGCTTTACCACCGCACCAACGCCAGCAATCCCCAATGCACCTACCGGAACCCTCTTCAACAGCTCTTTCCCTGCACACGAAACGACAGCGTCCGCAAATACCTCCACTGAAAACTCCTTAAACTCCTTGTTCCCAAGCACAATTTCACTCTCCTTTTCGCCTGATCGGCGCTTTGACACGATTTTGAAGGCCTTATCGACTTGTAATTGGTTCGGAGGCGATTTAACCCAATTGGTTATGAGAGGGACGGAGGGATAGAGAGAAGCGTGTAGGCGTTCCATGGCGGAGAAAAGCTGGTAGGGTTTGACTCCGGCGAAAGCGTGCTGTGATAGGGAGAGACAATCATCGTAGACTGAGTCACATGCCGAGTTGAATTCGGATGAATTTTGGAGTGAATTGCTAACTCGCTTAGAAGCTGAGAGCCCCATAGCTGTAAGTTAATTTTGTTCTTCTTCTCTCTGCTTCAGATATTTTGGTGCTATCAGAAGTTTTGACCCGAATTTCTCATGGGTCAGATACAACCATATCCGGCCCATAAATAGGATATCCATGTCCGGGGACCGGGGTAAGTGTACAGATAGCCGAGTATTTAAGATATAGCCAAAATTTCAAATTTTTTTGCACTTTTAAGCACTTTAAAATAACTTCATACGTGTGACTATGAAGTTTTATACGCGTTTGAAGTTTAGCTTATCAAAGGCTTTTATTAGATCAAACTTTCGCCATTTTTATATGAGGTTATAAGATTATCGACAAGAGAAAAATGGGTGACATGAAATTTAGGCATCATGTCATGTCCCTCAAAATATCTTTTTTCCTTTGGTCCCGATTTTCGGGTTAAAAAAAACATGCTAAATAGTGCTGACAAATAATTTGTACCAGATTTCAAGCTAAAACTTTGAAAAATGTTGCTAGCTAGATTTGAATCCACGCGCCTACTAGTTTTTGAACCCCTATAACCGCCCAAGCCCGCTCACTTGTGTTGAGGGGCTCAATATTGAATATATGGACATAAAATACATATTTGATTCTATACATTGTATAATTTTTTGATTCAGGAGTTCAGATAAAAACTCTCAACTCCAAGTAGATCTATCCCTGCCTCTAGTACGAAATATGAAAAAAGTAATAAATATCAAATAACTTTTGATTGTATTGGTTTTGAAGAAAACTAAAATCTAATAAGAGTATTAAATTCTGAAAGTTATTAAAATAGACATAAAAAGGGAATATCATTTTCTGATAAAAACCATCACACTACACGCTGAATAAAAGCACACTTCACACAAGAAAGGGAAAGTAAGGATTGGGACTTATTTTTCCATAATTACAGTACCTTACTATTCCTAAAACAAGAAAAACGACAACCCATTTTGACAATTAAACTCAAAGCTTAATTAAAAGGCACAAGTAGACTTCTTCTTTTTTTATGCATGGGCATCATCTCCAACCCAAACAAGATCAGTTTGTGACATCCAATGACAAACCTCTCCTTTTCCAGGTGAAAAATTCAACTTTTTGAAAACTGGATGATCAGCTGGCCATGAAGAAGTATCCATATGACAAACAACCATAGCTGTATTAACATGAACATTAGTGTTTAAATCAACTAACTCCACCGCGTAAATATTAGTTGAAGATAGCAAATGACAAAAGTATGTAGCAAAAGGAAGGAATATCTCATGGCATGAGACACTCTTTTGGGAATTGATTTTATGAAATTTCTCAATTTTTAGTTTCTGTCCTGACCCCTGTATGCTATCTGTTGTCAATGAAATTAGGTGGTTTTGTTTCAAGGTAGTCTTTGAGAACTCTATCATTTCTTCTAAGGATTTTGCGCATGTTTTAACTTCTCCTTTTAGAGTAGGTGCATTGCAATTGAGGATGGTAGTTTTTGTGGTATCTTTTGTGAATGGTGAAGTGAAAGTTTGAGGGAATAAATGTTGGAGATGGTTTGAGTTAATGGAGATCTTTGATGCAATTTGAGAAGGAAGAAATGAGCGATGAGGGAACGGGTTCACTAAGTTGTCTAGATGGATTGTGTTTCCAGGTTTGAGGATAGAGACTCTGAAGAAAGAGACTTCTCCAAGATGATGACTATTAGAGTGTGAAGTTGCATAAATTTTTGATGTATACACCTTAGTTTGTTCTGGAAGATTAGTTGGATAGACCTTGGCTTGATCAGGGTTTCTGGTTGCATATAATATCTTAGAATCTAGATTGGGGATTTTGGATGTTTGGGCTACCTTAGAAGCTAGATTGGGGGTTTTGGTTGCGTAGAGTATCTTAGAATCTAGATTGGAGATTTTGGATGTCTGGGATACCTTAGAAGCTAGATCAGGGGTTCTGGTTGCGTAGAGTATCTTAGAATCTAGATTGGGGATTTTGGATGTCTGGGATACCTTAGAAGCTAGATCAGGGGTTCTGGTTGCGTAGAGTATCTTAGAATCTAGATTGGGGATTTTGGATGTCTGGGATGCCTTAGAAGCTAGATCAGGGGTTCTGGTTGCGTAGAGTATCTTAGAATCTAGATTGGGGATTTTGGATGTCTGAGATACCTTAGAAGCTAGATCAGGGGTTCTGGTTGTGTAGAGAATCTTAGAATCTAGATTGGGGATTTTGGTTGTGTAGACCTTAGCTTGATTAGGAATTTTGGAGGGATAAACTTTGGCTTGATTTGGGAGTTTGGAAGCATAGACTTTAGCTTGATCGGGGGTTCTGGTTGCGTAGAGAATCTTAGAATCTAGATTGGGAATTTTGGATGTTTCGGCATTAGTCTCAGAAGTACAAAATATATCAGCAAGCAAACAACTTTGCGCATCAAAAGAGAATGCCTTTTTGGACACTAATGAAGTGTAATATTTAGAGTCAATCATGTTCATTGGAGATAATTTAGAAACAAGAGCTTGAGGCATTTCATTGACAACATTTTCTTTCCAAAACTTGAGCTGATTAGAACCCACATATGGTATAGAATTACAAGTAGAAGAAGCAAATAAAGACAAGACACTTAACAAGAAAAACATGAACCAATATGAAGTAGCCATTTTTTTTTTTTGGAAGACTTGAATTAGTGTTTCTTGAGATATTTTTATCTTAAGAAACTTCCTTATTTATAATGTAAAAATCCCAGACATTTTGATATCAAGTTGCACTTAAATAATCACAAAGCTCTTGAAATTATGTATACTATACGCAAGTAGAAGTCTCTTTTTCATGCAAATGGCCAATTTAGAGATTGGGACAACAATGGTGATAATGCTGCTGCTTGCACTATTAGCCAAAAACAGAAAATAGTGATTAGACACTGTTGAAAAAGACTATTACTAGTACAGTATCTTTTAGAGATGCATGCATTTTTGTTACCAACTTGAAAATGATCAAGTTAAAAGACTATAGTGGATTACCCATAAGCCATGATAAAAAGGAGAAAACAAAAAAATACTCTAGTAAACTTTAAGCTACATCACTATTAAATTACTAGTCCTCCACGCTTAACTAAATATTTTAAATTCGAGCTATTAGAAAAGAGAAAAAATCATGTTAGAAACATTCCTTTCAAAATGACTCCAACAGTGCGAATACAAATTTAATCCAACACTAACTGAAAAACAAAAAAGAGAAGAAAATAGAAGTGTGTCCACCAGCAAATCAAAGAGATATATATTTAATTATGTGCTTTTCTTCCTTGTGAATTGTAAATTTGTTATGCGATTATTCATGATTTAATCTACTTCGCGTTATAAGAGAAAAATGGCATAAATAAGTATGATTTGTAATATTGAAACAAAGTGAATAATTATTTGGTACCATAAGTAAAAAAATGACCTGATAATATAAAATTTATTTTACACGAGCGATTTATACATATGAGTAAGTAAAAAAAAAACGGAAAAGGGTCAAAATTGCCCCTGAACTATGCGAAATAGACCACTTATACCCTCCATTACATTTTGGGATCAAAAATACCCCCGCAATTATCCCAGGAGACCACAAATACCCTCAAGAGTTAACACCCCAATTTTTTAGTGGCGTGGCAAGCCACATGGGACTAATCCCTCCACCTAAGCATTGCCAACTAAGATTCACTACAAAAGAACTTGACTTTTGTCGCCACAAAATCCCAAAATATTGTCACTAAAGGCTATGAATGATTTTTAGTGGCGACTAAGGCTCCAACAACCATTCGCTAGTAAAACCTATTTTTTCAACAAAAAAATATGATAATTAATTTTCGATTGCGACCTAATTTTCTAAAATAAATAACTTGCAATATCCATATTAAAAACATCCAATATTATTACGAAAAATAATCAAAATTACTTCTCGATTCAAATCTCCTACTATATATATATAATGCATCATTGTACATTTTATACATTTACATATGACATAAAAATAAAACATATAGTGTCTTCAAACTCCTACTTAATCGATATCATATTTGGTTTTTTAAAAACAATGAAGAAAAAAACACAAAATTAGAATTTAATGTTAAAAACTTTTAGTGACGATTTTCTGGGCTTTTGTGGCGACTGTTGTTGCCGCTAAAGGTCTAGTTCTTTTGTAGTGAATCCTAGTTGGCAACGCTTAGGTGGAAGGATTAGTCCCACGTGGCTTGCCATGTCAACAAAAATTTGGGGTGTTAACTCTTGAGGGTATTTGTGGTCTCTTAGGATAACAGCAGGGGCATTTTTTATCCCAAAATATAACGAAGGGTATAAATGGTCTATTTCATATAGTTCAGGGGCAATTTTGACCCTTTTCCGGAAAAAAAATGTACATATAGATGGTGCTTATCCAATAGTGTTCTTTTTCACTCAAAATGATGAGCACTTGTATAGTGGTATTAATATAACTAAAGTAATTAGAAGAAGAAAAACATAAAGGATGAAATCTAGGCTGATCAAGATTTGTCTTAGCCTTTTGTTTATAGAGTAAACTACATAAATTCCATTAGTTTAGGACCTAATTACTAGAATTCAAGATAGTTCCAATAATTACATCCTATACCATATTTTGTCTGTCGGATACATATATGATATATCATCAACGGTTTGAATTAAAGAGATACATATTTTAATAATTTTCAATTTGATGTGTGTAACATATTTCCTTAAATAAAGGAGTATTTTAGGCTTAATTAATAATTCTAACATATTCATTAACATATCAATTCTAACAAATCTTCCTAAAATAACGAAATTCTAAAACCACAAGAGTTCTCTAATTGAAAACTTCATCTTCTTAGCAACAGGTTTGAGAATCGTGGACTACCATGGGAGCAAGCTTGATCTTTTCTTAATCTCAAATGATAGAAGAGACATTCTTGAATCTCAGAATTAGGCTCAGTGTGATTGAAAGGAACCAATAAGGAGAGAAAAGTCCGGTGGACGAAGATGGGATCATTTTTTTCATTTCTCCAGATTTTTCTCCATGTGTATCTAAGCTTTTCAGTTTCTTCTTTCTTTTGTTTTTGTTTTAGCTTCTTTTTTTTTTAGTTTATTTCTTTTTGGTTTCCATTTGGTCCAA